TGTTCTTCCTGATATTGTTGCTTTACTTTGGCTTCATTTTCTATCACTTCTTTTAACTTTTCTTCTAGATGCTTCTTCTCTAAAATATAAGTGTCTGTGAGACAGAGTTTCTGAGTATGTTCTAATTTCTGCTGCAGTTCCAAAATCTTGAATGAAAAAAGTTTACAAGTAAAACACTAAGAAGAGTGTAATTTTTTTTTTTTTACAAATTAGGGAAATAGCATATAAATATCAAACATAGCAGTGCTAATGTGCAAATCTGATCTAAAGTAAAGAGAATTGCTAGATTTATTTTAATTTAAAATTGTTTAATTCTTGCAATGTGTAATACATTCATATAATTCAATGTGTATAAAAAAGAAGCTACATAAGGAAAAGTTTCCTTCCCATCCTGCTCCTATTTCCTCCCAGTTTTCCACCACCAAATAGGAAACCACTGTTATTAGTTTCTTGTGTACCCTCCCAGAAACTTATTTATGCATATATGGGGGGACTCCCCAAAAAACTGGAATTATCTTTTTGGAGGGCGGGCCCCTTGAAGTACTGGCTTTCCCTGCTAGGTGCTCTAGGAACCCATTGGCATCATTGTATCAGCCGGCATTGTTGTGAGAGGCTGCTTTGTGGAAGAAACTACTGAGTGATGGCAGACAGATGGATTGGTTCTTCCATCATGACAACATACCTGTACAAACTGCGCTGAGTGTTCAGCAGTTTTTGACCAAAAATGGCAAGACCCAGGTGTCTTACCCTCCCTATTGACCTGCTTTTGCCCCAGGCAACATTTTTTTTGTTTCCCCAGATGAAAAAACGTCCTCAAAGAGAAACGGTTTGCCAATGTAAAAGAGGTGAAACACAAGATTGCAGAAACACTAAAAGGCATCAAAATGGATGAATTCAAAACTGTTTTTTTTTTTTTTCAGGTGGAGTCTCACTCTGTCGCCCAGATTGGAGTGCAGTGGCCGCTCCCAGCCACTGCAGCCTCGACCTGCTGGGTTCCGGCGATCCTTCCACTTCACCCTTCCAAGTACCCGGAATTACAGGCATGTGATACCACGCCCGGCTGATTTTTTGATTTATTGTAGAGATGAAGTCTCACTGCCCTGGCGGGTCTCGAACCAGCAGGCTCAGGCAATCCACTCACCTCAGCCTCCCAAAGGCGTGGGATTACAGGCTGAGCCACCGAGCCCGGCACTTTTTGGGTTTTTTGAGTTGGAGTCTCACTCTGTCACCCAGGCTGGAGTGTAGTGGTATGCTCACGGCCACCCCAGTGTGAACCTGCTGGGCTCCGGCGATCCTTCTGCTTCAGCCTTCCAAGTAGCCAGAACTACAAGCGTGCACTACCACGCCTGGCTAATTTTTTTGACTTATTATAGAGATGAGGTCTCACCAAGTTGCCAGGGCTGGCCTCGAACCCACAGGCTCAGACGATCCACCTGCCTCAGCCTCCCAAAGTAATAGGATTACGGGCAGAGCCACCGAGCACAGCCAGTTCCGGCTACCTGGAAGACAGAGACGGAAGAATCACCTGAGCACAACAGGTTGAGGCTGCGGTAGCCGGAAATGTGCCACTGCACTCTAGCCTGGGTGACAGAATAAAGAGTACAACTCAAAAATAAAAAGAAAAAAATACACGGGGAGCCCCACGCTATTTTTTTTTTTTTAAAGAATACAGAGGGAAATATGTAATTATACCAAGAGGCAAAAAAAGTTTTAAAAAATTTTTTTTCTTGAGTCAGAGTCTCACAGTTGTCACCCAGGCTGGAGTGCAGTGGCAGCTCAAGGCTACCACAGCCTCAACCTGCTGGGCTCAGGCAATCCTTCCACCCCAGCCTTCCAAGTAGCTGGAACTACAGGTGTGTGCCACCATGCCCGGCTCATTTTTTTTATTTCTTGTAGAGATAAAGTCTCCCCAAGTTGCCCAGGCTGGTCTCGAATGCATGGGCTCAGGCAATCCTCTCACCTCGGCCTCCCAAAAATTTTTTAAATAAAATAAAATAGGCTATCACCCAGACCCAGAACTTCATTTCTTCCGTGTACCAAAGAGCTGGAGTTTTCCTGAACTGTTACTTAACTCATCTTGTCCACAACTTTTCCGGTGTTTAAGTCTAGGCTCAAGTACTTTGTAGGCCTCTTCAGGGCGAGTGTCATGATGCTTCTGCTTCTCTGCATCCTCTATAGGCATAATACTCAAGTGTCTTGCACATAAAAGATGCTGAACAAATATTTGTTGATTATGAGAAAATGATTTCCTTCTGGTACCTAACCAATGACTCTTTGATAATAAATTAAACAAGTCTTATATGAATAACTCAGACATTTCCCTATTTTCAGATAAAGTTCAGAGCCTGAGACAGAACCAGGAGCTACAATCCAGTTCTGATTGATGTATCTGCGTGACCCTAACTAGTTGCCGTTTGCTCTTTGGGCTTCCCTTCCCTTCCAGTAAAGGCAGGGAACTATCAATCTGGCGTTTACTAGCTCAAAAATTCTTATGATTGTATCAAATACACAGGAACATACTCAACCACAACATAAGTCAACGATATTTAGAGTTTTTTTTTAATCACAGTAAAGTGCAACACTGTAGTTTATCTTGTATTGCATCACCTTATTCATTAAAATCATAGTATTTTCTTAGACCTAAAAAATATTTTTATTAACATCACCATATGATCTTGTAGGTAAGAGTAAATGAATGATCCATCTTATTTCAGCATTCTGATTTTGTAAATGTTCTGAGGCTGACAAAGTGCAGAGTCACTCAGTAAGTCAGAAATGACACAGTAAAACGGTCATTCAGTGTCCAGGCCAATCAGTTATCATTCCTAGGGTAGCAGGCAGATCTCTTCTAGGACCAGAAGGAGGCCGACCGTCAGCAGATGGTCAAAACACAAAACAAACGTACCCAAACTGCATGACACCTCGCCACTAACCGCACACGTTTGCCCCGTTCTCGGAGGAACGAGAAGGCCCCGCGTCTTCGCCTCCGCTCCTTCCCTGCCGCTTTACCTGTTTGTACCTGGCGTACAGGTACAAAAGCTGCTCCCTGCTGGCCACCTGAATCAGGCCCTGGAGGTGCGCGGCAGCCTTCTCAAACAGCTCCCTCAGACCCTCGGCCTCCGGGCTGTGGGGGGACTCCACGTCCCCGGAGTCGTCCCCCGAGCTCAGGTCTCCTCCGCTGTCGCCCGTGGTGGTCCCCGCGGACAGAAAGGAGGAGGCCATCTCTCCCCGCCCGGCCTGGTTCTGCGGGTCGGGTCTGTGCTCCTCGGATCCCGCGCAACGCCGGCCCGGGGACCCCGCCGGCCGGCCTAGGTGCTAA